GTAATAGGTTCATTCCATGCTGAAAAGAGAAGAAAGAAAACACAACGTTTCGGCTGTGGAGCCTTCTTCTTACACCCGAAGAACCTACAGTATTACTTGTTCCTTTACGGCCTACACATGCTGACGCAGCTACCCACCTGAAATGTTTTAAAAAATATGATTATTAGACTAAGAAAAAAAATATTAAACGCAATTAAAGTTTCACTAAGATGTAACGTAACCTAAATGCTACCTATCGATGTTCTTTGAATGGTGAAGGGCTAAATTTGGTATATAGGAACTGAATGAAGTATACTGCAGTTTGATTTTCGCTGATGCGAGTTTTGACTTAAATTCTATATGAATATGTCTATATTTTTTTAATTACAGAATGTTTTTAAATGCCATGCCTACTGTTTTTATGATTATTATTATTATTATTATTATTATTATTACAAACACTGACAAATGGAAAATTTAGTTTGCAAGAATTTAACAAATGCAACCATTATTACAAGTAAACTAATATTTATTTGATTATAGTCTTCCAGTTATGTACAGAAACTAATTTCAGTAACATAATTAAGAACAATTCAACTCCAATAGACATGTATAGGCAATTAGCATTAAAGAGCATCTGGAATTTCTTTTAAAGTTTCTTTTTGCACATCAAAACTACAAATATCTGCACTACTTAAATATTAACAATTACAGAAGTGTACCACTAACAAATGGATTAAAATGTGCCGCTATAATGTATAAATTCTGTTTATTAATATTGCTTTTCTTAAGTGTGAACACTGCCAAAATGGCATTTTAATACAATCTGATTTCAAACTAACTTTTACTTAGCAATACTGGTGGTCTTAGAGTGATTGCTTTACAATTGAAAAAAATGTTTGATATTGATAGGGATATTTGCATGGGATATTGTCAGTGTGTACAACTGCCATTGAACATTGGAAACCCTGGTTGTTCAAAACCATCAAGTACTGCATATATATTAACAGCAAAGCTTGTGCAGCTTCCCCACAAGTTTGTCTTGGCAATTGTTGTCTTGTGGTTTTTAACAGTTTGAATACATCTCTGAACATTTTAATTACTTCTGTCTGTTGATCAGGTCATTAAATGAAATTGTAGACCTACTGTATATAATAAACAGTATACTGATGGAAAAAAGAAACGCAACATTTTCTGGAATGAGAATATTGTAACGCAACGGGGGCTCAGGCGGGCGCCCTTGCCGCATCTGGTCGGCCCAAAGTATAGGTGGCTCGAACCCAGGACTTCCGCGTCTCTCTGCAGCGACCTAGCCCGTGAGCTAAAGAGAGATCTCTCCACAGCCCAGTAGCTGTGGTCCTGCTATCACAGGGAAGGGCGGTGACGTCACCCGCTCTGGTACGCCGGCTCTTACACACACTGCTTGTCGGCCGTAAGCGTTACACTCTCCCCCGCTTAAATCGCCGTCCCCGGCGAAGGGCTATCCCGCCCCGCTTCTGACACCAATGTAACGCAACGGGGGCTCAGGCGGGCGCCCTTGCCGCATCTGGTCGGCCCAAAGTATAGGTGGCTCGAACCCAGGACTTCCGCGTCTCTCTGCAGCGACCTAGCCCCGTGAGCTAAAGAGAGATCTCTCCACAGCCCAGTAGCTGTGGTCCTGCTATCACAGGGAAGGGCAGTGACGTCACCCGCTCTGGTACGCCGGCTCTTACACACACTGCTTGTCGGCCGTAAGCGTTACAATATTATAGTTATAGCTTATGTATTTTCACAAAAAGTCGTCAATTTGTTTTCAAGCCCTCTGACAAGCAATACAGAAACCTCGTTAGGTGCACTTTTATCAAAAGAGATCCTGGTGGAACAATGCCTGCCCAGGTCAGCTTTAAAAAGGTCTTAATTCAAAGCTTAGGTCACTGTAAGAAAAAGGGCACACTTAGTCAGTTTTCTGTGCATTCCATAATGCCTTGAATGTCACCAGAAACAAGGGAGAGGGCTATTGGCATGCTGTAGGCAGGCATGTCATGTTGCCAGACACTATGGAGTAAGCCGCTCCACTGTGTCCCGACTACAGAGAAGGTTTCAGCAGACCATCAGGATAGATGACTGTTCAAGATCCGGTCGCCCTCGAGTGACCACACCAGAGCAGGACCGACACATCAGACTGGTCCATCTGAGAGATCGTTTCAGATTTGCCCCCTGTACTGCTGTTGAAACTGCCGGCAGACACAATGCTCGTATCAGTGACAGGACAGTAAGGATCCATGCTGCTGGCCTTAGAGCAAGGCGATCTGTCAGAGGCTCTCTGCTCACACCTCCTAGACGTCACATCTGACTGGCTTGGGCCAGACAGTGGCTGCGATGGACTCGTTAGCAGTGGCATCAGGTCCTCTTCATGGATGAGTCACTCTTCAGCCTGTTCCACGCAGACGGGAGGGCCAGAGTGTGGAGGAGGTGTTGCGTTTCTTTTTTCAGTATATAATATTCTGATATATAAACATAAGATTTAGTATAACAAATATTAAATGTCATTTCGTTTCACATTTACATGTAAATAACATATTGTATGTTATTTATTGAGTGCTACAGAGAAAATGTGTGTGAAAAATTGGTATGTGTACATTTTACGTGCAAGTACTCTCACTTCATACTTTCACATCACTATTCCATTTTTCAATATTATCATGTTTAAATAATGTTTATATGCCCAAACAGCTGATTTTAAAAATGTATGCCAGCCAAGTTATGTGAATGAGGAATCAAAACATTTGACACGTTAAAGGCTGGCCTTAAAATTGTGAGTAGGGAATTTAGACATTGAGATAAATGCAAGGTTTGATTTTTCTCTGTTTCCCACTTTCCCATTTACCATCACCACATTGTCAAACAAAGGTGACAAATCTAAATCTACAAAGTAGAGCATTAATTAATTTCTAATCTTGATCAGCCAGTAAGATCTTGGCAAAGAGATAATAAAGGTTTGGAGCATGGCTCCTAGAAAGTGATTATAAAGCAGTCTCTTCACCCCTTTTAATTAACTGCCTAAGGTGGTTATCATCATTAATTTGAGATTCTGGACAATATAAAATAAAATGATCTGGCAGCATTAACACCTTGTATGGCACACACAGCATTATAAATTCTTTTAATCTCTCACTTGAACTGGATTTTTTTTCTTCTACTTTGCAGTCAAAAGAATGGAGGTGTCAGACAGCTTTAGTAAAGATGGTTATAAAGCACAAACGTTGACAGTTTGAAACTAAAATCTTTAAATTTACTACAGTACTGGGATTCATTCTTATACAATTATGAACATTAAGGAATCTTTGAGAGGAATTTCTTTTTTTCCTTCATAAGTATAAATCAGTACAATGTACTATGTATACACATATTTTAAAATTGGCTTGACTTTTGAGTGTAGTATTAAGGCTGGACTGGTCTAATGTCAATGTAGTAATTCAAAATAAAATCCAACTTGCCTACACAACGGTATTTCTGTACAGCATGAAATCACGCCTTTATCAAAATATTTCTTAGTGGAGCCCTACTAATAAACGTAGCTTTTGACAGGCCAAAATATTCATTATCCCTCTGCTGTTATTATCACTTGAGCCCAAATCCAATTTGAAGGTACCTGTAATCATGTAGTTTCAAGACTTATTGTCATTGGTGTAGTTATAGGCATTGCAACCACTGTGACTACACTGTGGCAGCACGAGTAGTATCTTTAACATTTAAGTGTGGGCCCACTTTTAAACCGTGGGATAACACAACGAATTGAACTTAATTTTCGGGGGGGGGGGGATTGTTATTATTTAATTGCACTAATTGTGATTTTTGGTTCAATGAACAATTGTGTTCTCTCATCATTTGCTGGAATGGTTTTCTTGTAATAGAATCTGGCTAAGGTCAAGGATAGACCTGGGGCTAGGTGTAAGCATTTAGAATTTAATTAGCAGTAATTTACAAGACCTACTTGAGCGACTGCAATGGGACATCTATGAAGTGTGATCTTTAAATATGCTAATTATAAAAACAATAAGCTGATAAAGACAGGTTGAACAAAAGGCTGGTATTTAAAATTAGCTACGGTTCATTACTCCAGTACCTTAAGTCATACTATGTCACGTAGGCCACAAAAGCTTAGAGATGGTACCCTCAAAAGAAAAACTAAAAGAGAGAAGTTTGCAGTGGCAGCAAAATTGACTAAATAGAGAAAGGTCACAACCAACGAAGAGTTAGCCAACTAAGTTAACTGTAGTTCACAGTTTGCAAGCAACATGCAGCACAGAGCTCCTGTGGAAACATCTAAGAAAACAGTGAAACATAAACAGTCAGATGATGAGGAATTAATTGCAGTAATACCATGGGCAGTGTACTGTAGTCAGGTGATATTTGTCCTAGAGGACATTTGAAAATGTAACAAATGGACAAAGGAGGCTATATATCATAGCGAAAGATTCTACAAAAATAATTTTACATGACTTTGCAGTTTATCAGTAGAGATTTCAAATGAGTGACTAGGCTACTTAATATTATTATGGTACTGCTAGTGTGCGATGTGATCAGGGGAGAGGGATCTATAAAAAAAAAATGTGTACCAGGACCCATGGTCATCAGTTCCACCACTGCATAGTATATTGTAATTTCATGCTGAAAAAGAGAAGAAAAGGTTCACATTTCCCAAGAAGGCTCCACAGCCGAAAAGCTGTGTTTCTTTTCTTTTCTTTCAGCATGGAATAAACCTTTACTTGTGCTTTTGCAGCCTATGCATGCTGACACAGCTCCCTACTTGAACTATTGTAATTTCTATCACATGTGATGAAGTTACTCTATGAACGTATTGTAAATTTACAATACAGATCTTTCAGGCCCAAACTTTTCAGTTATTAAATACAGTATAAAGGGTACATTAGAAGAAAAATATATGGTATGTTTACAGTTTCATCCTCAAAACAGAACTAATCAACCATTTCGATCATAAACGTAAACAGGAACATGCTACTAAATGGTCCTATTCTTACCTCCTTTTTCGCCTTTGTCTGGCTTATCTGAACCAGGTGCCCCAGCTGGTGAAAAGGTTGTTTCTATGGTATCAGAGTCTTTGCCCAGTTTGCTGACTCCATTTTCATACAGTTGTCCATCCACTGGCTGCAAGTGCCATGTTAGACCAAACAAGTGTACTGCTGTAGAAGAAACACATAGTCAAATCCTTACACTGTTTTTGTCTGGGGTTTTGTGCAAACATTAATGTTCACATTATTACATCACTCTGAAAGCTGCCCAGGGGAGTGTGTGCCATTTGTATTGACTTGAAAGTTTAACTTAATATTGGTCTTCTTACTTGAAGTGTGGCATAACTGAGTATCATTCATTTTCTCTCTTAAACTCCACACAGAGTTTATATGCTTATTAAGACACAGCATGACAGTGGCGGGCAATTAAGGCAGTTCTCCTGAGATACAGTCTAGGGCATGCCTTGAACTTGTAACATATCCTTTTCTGCATGACTAATGATCTCTTCATGACTGCTACTCAGTCAAAATCCATTTGAGCCCCTAAAACTAAAAAGGTTAGTGATTTTTTAAAATAATTTTTTAAAGTAAAAATCTAGGCAGTTATACACGATTGCTTTACACGAAAAGAAGCATTGTCATGTAAACAAAGCTATTTTTGAATCATGTAAGTTTTATATAATTACTAATACTGTGTTATTTTTCATATCAAACCCTTCAATATTTGCTGCTTTTTACTTCTATCTATTTCTATCTCTGAGGCACCACAAGTGGCAAAGTTGTAAAGTCCCTCTTAATCTGGTGAGTTCCTATTGTGTACATGACAACACACACATGACATGGGATGTATGTGTGATGTCTGAAAATTGCATTTGTTTATTTTTACTTCTTATGCAGAGCAATGCATTATATCACATTCCAGCTGTCTGAAAATGGAAAAATAAGATACAGATCACCTCTTCCTATTTGTGCTACAGGTGAAAGAAGAATGGGAAAGCTGTTTCATTTATGAGCTTAATAATTGATTCCATAACATTAACAATCTAGTGGCCCTGCAGGAAGCCAGAAATTAAAGTGTGCTTGTGATTAGCAGTAGCTGCACTCCAAAAGATGATCTACATTACAGTCACTTGTGTAGAATTTAAATATGCAAATCAAGGTAATTGACTTCTAACAACATCAAAGTATCTTTCCTCTTCCTTCTTCCATTCTGACGTCTTATATTTCTTAAAGTAGACAGGACATAGATTCTATTCCGTGCATACTAAAAAAGGCAGGATTTTGTTTCCAATTGATGTATAGTGCAAATTAAACTTGCAAGAGTTCAGTTCAACTCAATTTGCATCAATTTTAAATAAGTAAAAAAACTAATTAAGATGATTTGGTTTCAAAATATGTAACTTTTCAGAACAATCCAACTGAATTAAAACTAAGACATATGAGCATTATACTCTGTTGGGCAGCAGGGGAAATGAGAGTCATAGAAGAAACCTGTTAGAAACATAAAGTAATGGAAAAATGGTAAAGAGTACTCAATTTTCAGTGATGGCAATGGAAAAGTACTGTTTCCAAACTCTATTTTCTATAGAAGTGGAAAAGACTTTAGTACTGTATTTATATTATACAATAACTTTGCATTATATCATCTATATTTCAGATTTGATAAATTTCATATCTGATTATTCAAATTATCATTTTTTAAAATCCTATTTCGATTACATAAGTTTCAAAACATCTCATCTCAGAATATTCAGAAGAACATACAGTAGGTACGCATAATATTGCAATGCAGATGTACTGAACTGTTTGTAAAATTAATTTATAGCCTATTAATATTTTTTTTTCCATTTATTCATAAACCACAATGGAATGTAATCACGTTCCCTAATTCAAAATACAAAGAAAGATTTATAAAATGTACAACTTTTTCTATTAGCTACTAGAGAGCTAAAAATCTAATTATATGACAGCATTATGTATTAAATTTGCCATAACCTTTAAAAGAACACAAACTTAAATAGCTACTTAAAGCTTTATGCTTTTTTACTGCACATTTACTGCATTGCTAACCCCAATTTACCCTGTAATGGAGGAAAAGTTCTTGGCTAAATGCCTTAAGCTTTACGACATACAATCATTTCTCTCAATGGTTGTTGACCTTTGGTGGGGCACTTAAGCCATGCTGTAAACCAGTCACTGAGTAAACCTAGAAAGAATTAAGTTATGTTGCATGGATTTTCTCCTCAAGAAAAATGAGGTTACATTTCAATCTTAAGATGAATCCAATTTTCTTCCCATTCAACATCAAATCATTCTATATCTTCACCATTACATTGTGCTAAAGTACCTACAAATCAAGGTATTATCACTCTAACAGCAAGATTACTTAGGGGATTCTGGAGAATTACTCTTCAGAGAAACCCCATGGAGAACTGTGTAAATTGTAACTTCACCTAGGTAATAATGCATGAGGGTCGAATGGATTTTGTCTTTGCCGTATTTGTATAATCCCTTTAGAATTTTATTTCTCACTTTGTAAGTCTGCAAAAAATAAAAAAAAATCTAAATTAAACTTCTGTGCACAAGAGGAATGATGACTATAATGTTCACATCTTATTTAACCAAGATAACTAGATGTGAATCTATTTTTTTTACTTAATGGAAATACATTACTTCTTCCTCTCTTCAATCTATTATCACGAAAAACTCTCTTCCTCTAGTCTAGATCGAATAGACAGAAGGCATTTACAATCAAAGAAGGATCCTATCAAATAAAAACCTTGTATATCCCTACATTTTTAAAATTAATCTTTTGAAATTCAAATCTCAAATTGATTTCTACAATGATCTTATTTGTGTTAACATGCTTACATTGACTTTGAATTTCAAAACCATTGAAGCTGTGTAATTGCAGCCTGAGGAACTCAAAAACAATGTTGTAGAAACAGCACATATATGTACATGAATGAAATCAATTGCTTTATAACAAATCAATGACATAATATGGGATTGGTTCCCATACATTCTAAATGAAGGCCCAAACACTGGTGTTAACCATTTTGCATTAATGACCACTTTTAGCTTTTCTGTAGTAGATACAGACTTATGGTTTCCCTCAATACCACCAATTCAACATTATCTGTTTTGCACCTTCTTTGTATTAAGTTTCCATATGCATTTTTGCTTCACTTTTGATTGTTTGATTTCCCTCCATTTCCCCTAAGGGGCAGAAATGAAGGACCCATTCTGTTGATCTATTAAAGTACATAGATGATATGGCCCTAGTAGGTTTGTTTACGGGGGATGATAGAGAAGGGGTGGAGAATTACAGATAAGAAAAGTGGGAAGGTAGTGTCAGTCAAGCATGCTTCATATTAATGTTGATAAAATGAAAGAACTGGCTACTTGTAATAGTAATACAATAGATTTTCAACCTCTCTCCATTATTAATCAAGCCGTGGAGGTTTGTTCAGTGTTATAGTAATAGATGAAAATTTAAACCATAACAGAGAATACCAATTACATTTTTTAAAAGACTAGTCAGCGTACAGTATATATTTGTGATTGGGAAGATGAAAGATTTTAGGGTGAGTTAAAACATTTTAGAGTGGTTCTACAGAATATCAGTAGAAAGCATCCGTACTTCACTGTGTGGGGTGGTAGCCTGAGTATTAAAAGTAAAGGGAAATTGTCCAGAATTGTAAATATTGTTAAGAAAATAATTGGCTGACTACAGAAAGAGCTTAAAGAGTTGTATTACAGTATATGGCACTTTAAAAGAAAGCTCAGCTTGTTGTCAATGATCTCTCCCACCCTTTTCATTCCAATTTCCAACCACTACTTTAAGGGAGGCGTTTAGAATGACTGTGGTCAAGAAAATTGTATACAAGAAATCTTTTGTTCCCTACGTAATTGGTATATTAAACACAACTAAATGACTGTATACTTTTAGTTTAGTATGTTTATTGTATGAAGCTGTCGGATTGTGTAACGTAGTGTAATGTGGGCAAAGTGAGATGTATGTATACAGTATGTATTGTTGCATGTCTAGGACCATCATTTGTTTTAATGTTTATTTATTTTATATTGAGTGCTGATTTTTTGTAGTTTTGTACGGTAAGATAGATAGATAATACTTTATTAATCCTGTAGGGAAATTGATGTGTTACAGCAGTCCAGCCCAAGACAAGCAAAACAGACATCAGAATAGTTATAAAAACAAAAGACAAACAAAATAAATAAAAATAAATAAATACATAGGTGTGTGCAAAATGTGCTGATCATAGTCACTGTAAAAACAATAAAATATGTGCAAAATGTGCATAGGTTTATACAGACTGATTGTCCAAAAAGTACAATGGAGTAAACATGCTGTCCATAGAGGAGCAAAATGAAGGGCTAACAGTCCTAGCCTAGGGCAGCGTTATACACCCTGACTTGAATTCAGAAAAAAAAAGTTCATTGCCGCCGGGAGGAAAGACCTGCGGAAACATTCCCTTGAACACCGTAGCTGGAGCAGTCTATTGCTAAATGTGCTCCACTGCCCAGTAACAGTCCCATGAAGCGGATGAGAGGTGTAAGTTCTATTTTATTTTGTATCATATCTTCCCTTCTTTAATCTTGGATAAATGATTTTCATGGGTGCTTTGGTTTCAGTACATTAGCCTGCCTACACAGTTTGCCTATACAATTGGACCTCTCAGGGGATCTTTTACAATTTGTAAACAGCAAGAGACAGAAAAAATGAGTGGCAAAGGAGCATTTTTGCATTTTAATTTTGTGAATACTGTATCTCAGTATTCTGAAGGCTTGACTAAGTAGCTAAATGTTATTTTCTTTTAAAGGTCTACCCAGAACAGACCATCTGACCAATCAGAAAGATGCTTAAATTATCTGATTTAATGAAACAAATGATAGTGTGGAAGTCTTTTACGTACAGTATACGTAGCCGTAGGTCCCAAGAACAAGGAGCGTTGAAAAATATTATGTGTTATCATGCCTTTCTATTTTTTCACTCTTTTAGTTGCGTCTATGATAGTTATTATAATATTTTCTGGTGAAATTTATTAGAATATAAATAAAACATTCTGGTATTAACCAAAAAGTTTAAATGAAAACTTCATTCAAACTAAATAATTACAGTGGAATAAATTTTCAGTTGGGGCTGCATC